CTGAAGGCAGTCGCTTAACCAACTGAGCCACCCAGGCGCCCCCTTTTATCAGTTTATTAACAGATCATGGATCATCTTAGGAAATGCAGAAATCCAGTGTCTTCTGATTACCTGCTCTCTTCTTCCAGTAATGGATGGACATTCATGTTTTCATCTGCCTGTAAAAGAAATCTGATAGTTGGAAAAGTAATTAAGAATACAACATGATTATTTCAATAATAATAAATATATATTTCATATATATTTGAACCATCATGCCAAACAGAATGAAAAATCACACAAAAACCTACCTGCCCTGCCCAGGCATGTCTCATTGGCTCATAGCTGCATCCAAGATGGCAACAGTATTGGAAAATCCATAGAGAGGCACGACGGCAGGAGGCAGACATTGGAATGATGCCTGCGCCGCTGGCTCCTCAAAATATGATTGAAGAGGCCGTGTCTGGCATTCGCTTGCTCTTCAGAGCTGAGGCTTTTCCTTCCCAGTAGATGGGAAGGGACTTTTGACTTGACTGGAGGGGGAGCATTCAGATACATCAGTGTCTTCCAGATTGCTGCTTTCCATTAGTTTTTGATGCATTGTACATATTTCCCCCTTCTCATTCCTAATTCCTTGGTTTACTATCTCCTTTCTTTTTTTTATCTTCTTTTTCTCTTTTTTGCCTTTTACAGGGTCCCTGGTCTCTTGTTCGAAATGCTTAAAATGAGTGTTAGCCTTGATCCATGAGCATCTCTCTTCTAGTCTAGTCTAGAGGTGCCTTGTCGGAAGGGGGTCTATCTTGAGTTTGTGGAATCAGATGAGAAATAGTCAAGTAGCAACTTAGAGGAAAATGGAAAGGATTGTCGGAATCCTATAGCCCAGGTAGTGGGCAATATTGACTTTTGGTGCCAGAAGACTTTGAAGTACTGTAGAGAGGTCATGGATGTATGTTCAGGAAGCTTTTAAAGTAAATCAATAAAATGCTATCAGATAAAGGCTTCACATGAATGCCAGGAAAATTTTCAGATTTGATGGGGACACTCTGTTGCTCTCACATATTACCTGTGAGTATATACATATATACATATAACTGATAAGTTATAAATATATAATTGTAATTGTGATTATTATTATAAAATAATCCCTCATATAAGCTCCATAAGAACAAGGATTCATGTATGTATCCCCAGCGCTTAGAACAGGACAAGGCACATAGCAGATTCCCAGTAAATATTTGCTAAATAGATAAGTGCCACCATGTTTCTGTACTCTAGTCCTAGGTGGACTAGAAGACAGAATTTGTTGTCCGAAAGGCCTGAGTTTCAGCCCTGGCTCTGCCTCTTAGGAGCTGTCTTTCTAGCCCCTCTGAGCCTTAGTGTCCGCATGCACTTCATAGAATTTCTATCGAGGTTCCCACATAAAACGATGAAGCGTTTGAATGGATATTATATGGTTGGAGGTCTGTCTGTCCCCTTCTCACCCTGATGCCAGTTTTTCACCGTCCCTTCGCTCCCCCCTGCCTTCCAGCGAATATCTTTCAAATCAGGGCTCTGTATCTAAGGGTTAGAGTTTTAAGTGGAGAAGAAACTAACATTCTTGCAATGGGTTCTTTTCATTACAAAAATCTCAGGAGACGAAAAGCACAACTGTAAGGCTCATGAACCTTAGGTTTAGAGCAGTGACGCCGAGTAGCTGCGGCTGAACTGCTGAGAGGAGACAAAAGCAGGGAAGTCCTTTGCAAAGCCTGCCAATCTCTGCCTCCCTGCAGGGTCTGCAGTGGTAAAATGTGTAGGAGATGTGAGGCACAAGGCAGCAGCCAGGTGGTATGCAGTGGGGGCGGGGGTGCGGGGGACACTTTCCTGAGTCACTTAAGAAACAGACCCTTCAAACCATGGGAGGGCTGGAGCTCAGGACAAGGCAGGTGACCACTCTCGTACATGGCCTTCCCACTTCCTTCCACTAAGAAGAAAAGACAGAAGACAGGCAGTAGGTAAAACAGGATGTAAAGTTTATATACAAGAATATAATGTTTATCTGAAATATTTACAGTGTTGGTTAAAGCAATATTTTTACAACTTTTAAAGGTCAACTACTATGTATATTACAGGTAAGCTACAATGGTTTAATTTGCAAAATTAAGTAAAAAAATGTTTTAAACAAAGCTTAAAGTACTCAGGTCAATTATAGAATCTGTTTTGCCCTTTATTCGAAGAACTCATGCTATGATGGTTAATGTGCTTTTGATAAATGGAAGTACTCTACCCAGAAATGCAGTACATGCTACTGTGGTAAGTCCCCAAGGAGGGTGTAAAATAACAGGTGAATTATTATAAGACTTAGGCTCTGAGTCTCAGGCTGGAGTGGAGAGATGTCGAGATAACAGCCAGCTTTATCTCAACGAGGTTTGTGACCCACAAAAGTTTGGGCCAGGTAGGAAAATGAAGCCATTTGCACGTTACAGCAACCTCAGCTGAAAGTGAAAGTCAGTTGACCCAAACCAAACAGAAAAAAACAAAACAATCAGACCCAAGTCACAGTTGTACCTATTCAAAACTAAAGTGAGCTATTTTAAAAACTTCATAAAAATATTCATGATTTTATTAGTTTGAACATTTCTACAAGATCTGGGTGGGTTTTTCCTGTATATGAAAACAGCTATTCGTGCCTGAGGCCTCCTAAGGCCCTATAAGTCAGGAGATGCTGGGGGTGCAGACGTGCAAAAGGCAAGGGAAGCTGCCCCAGGCTGGCGGCTGGAGCCGCAAGGCCTGTGCTTGGGAAATGAGAGCTGAGGACCCAGAGCGGAAATGGTCCGCCTGGCCCTGGAGCTGGCCTGGGGGGCCAACTAGCACTGCAGCTTGCGGATGCTGCGGGAGATGCGCTTGAACTCTCTCTGCCCCTTCTGCCACCGCTTCACGGAGGTGATCACCAGCTCCCCACCCAGTTTCTGTCCCATGACCAGATAGGGCGCATTGATGTCATTCATCTCTTCGCAGGTGCACTGCAAGCTGTCTTTGAGCCACAGCACTGATTTCTTCAGGTCCCTTTCAGACACACCATTCAGCTTGTAAATGGTCTTGCTCTTGGTCTCCAGGATGATTTTGGTATCTCTGTTGATGTAGGTTATCTCCTTCACTTTTATTTTCAGTGCTACGAAGACAAGAGGGGACAGAATCACACCAGTTGTAAGAAGGGAATATGGTCTAGAGTGGGAGCTTTCCTCACCCCATTTCATTTGTGTGATTGGCCTGGGGGGAGGGAAGAAGAGCTTCCTGCAGCTAATGAGACTGTCAGGGGCTGCAGGTGGGGGGGGGGGTTGGGAGCTGGGGGCAGCAGGTGGCTTCATTTCTAAAGCCTCAAAGGGCTTGCCAGGCACTTTATTTCAAATCAGCCATCCTTTCAAAAAATCTCTTTGCGGGACTCAATTAACTTTTCTTTCTCACTGCCCTTGTGTTCTTCTTGTGTTTGTACGTAGGTTGCATGTGGTTTGCGCTCTCCTCAACAAATGACTTCCCCTATTGGAAACTTCAGCATGAAAAGAAATGCCTGACTCTTAGGTGAAACATGATCCTTCTGTGGCCATAAACTTTAAACTCAATTTATTACGTTGGAGAGGTTTTTGGACAAACCTGTAAGGAAATTATATCACCCAATCATTGTTTTCTAAAGAACAGACTACAGGGAAGGAGAACTGATCTTACAGCAGCTGCATTTGATTTGGTAAAGCAACTAGGAGAAAAAATATCCAAGACTCTAAGAGCACAACGTGTTTAGCTGTAAAAGTGTTTTTCTGAAGATCTCATTCTCATCTGCTATCATTTGCCTGTCCAAGGCCAAGGCGTTTATAGATCATACATGTACCGTTTCCAAAATGTATATGTAGACTCACTAGAATGCTAAGACCAAAAGTAAGTGGTTCACTATAAAAGACACATTTTACAGTCATGAACAGTCGGCTTTGGGAAAGAAAACCCTACAAACATACGTGCTGGAATTAAATTTCAAGACTCCATGAAGGCAAGGAAAGGGTAGAATTTTAAGGCTGGAAAGGATCATTCGGTTGAAATCTCTTGTTGATACACAAAGAATTTGAAATCCAGAGAAGTCAGTGACTTACATGAGGTCACCCAGTTAGGTTGTGTTCTGGCTAAGTCAGGTTGTCAGAACGCTGGTCCCCAAACCTCCTCCTCTAACACTATTGTGGTCTCTTAAATTTCTGGTCCTGTTTGGGACATGAACATGCCCAATTGTAATGTAACCTAAGACTCTTAATGACAATGACAAGTGCTCTGTATAGATGATGTGTGAATGGCACTTCCTGACTTTGATGGAGTTTAATGCATTATTTAAATTAGTCATAGAGGAAGAGGGTTTGTGTGTGTGTGTGTGTATAACTGCTTTGCGGATCTCTCTCTATCTCAGAAAGGGAATTGGACTAACCATGACTGTTCCAGCCAACCAGGAAATGAATGAAGCTCAACCAGAGAAATCAAGGATGCTGTGATTTGGCCAACCATTGTTTTGTCTGATGTGCATCTAAACCGTAGTACTGAGTTCTCAGGGTTTATGGGACTTAAGTCATGGAATAAGTCACATGGAAATGTCACATATTCCTGACGTCTCTGCATCAGGCCTGGGGTGGGAAGGTCACATGGTGGGAGAAGTGATTATATATTACACAGATAGAACATTTGTGATGGAGCACCTGGTCAAATTAAACATTCGTGAGCTCCACACATCAGAAAACCATTACTTTTCACCAGGAGGAAGATTTATTACTTATCTTTTTCTTGCTATAAAATAATCAACTTTGCAAAAGCTCACCATGCGAAAACAGCAGGCATTTCCTCCCTGGATTTTCAGCTGGGGCCAAATGTAGGGAATCAAAGCCCTAAAATAACTTTTCCTGCCCTGGAAGATGTGAGTGGGGATGCAGGAAGTGGTAGGAGGCAGGGGTAATGGTAACCTGATCCAACAGCAGGTTGGATGCATAGGCAGGCAGCTCTGGGCTATTCTTTTCTGCACCGGTAGGTACTTTTACCATTGCAATAAGGAGGCCTACATTTTCCCTGTACTTCAGGAGTGTAGTGGGGAAAGAGGGTGATGCTTTCGTGGATGATTTAAGTAAATCAGATTTCTACCCTTGTTGCTTCTACCCTTCCATTACTTTTCAAAGTATAGAGGCAATATAGAATGCTGCTTATAAACCAGGAGTATATGATGCACTTCCTACAATTCAGGTTCATTATCCCTTTTGGGACAAAAATTAGTGTGGGGAAATAGAAAACATAGCTGCGAGGTAATCTGTGTGTGTGATACCTTAAATGTGATGATATCCATGTTGTTTTGAAAGGCTTTCTCCTCTAAGGAGAGAGAACACTAGGATACACACACACACACACTTTTTTGGGGACCTGGGTCTTGACAGAACATCCTTAGGAAGTGGGTCTTTTGTAAGGGAAGCCATAAAGCAAGTATTAATGTGTGTGTGTGTGTGTGTGTGTGCACATGCATGTGCCCTAATTTCAATCATTTTAGAGCCCCATGATATAACCAACTTTTTCATGGAAAGTCAGGAGAGAGATCTGGGTTAAATCTAGCACAAAGGACATAAGCTACCAGAAGAAAATGATATTTTATATACATTTTAATGTACATTGTATTAAAATTATATTTTTCTATTTTCCCCTTAATCAAATCTTGTAGCATGGAAGCTCAGAAGTGTGTTTTGGTAAGGCTCTGGAGATCTGAGATTGCTGCTACCAGCATGCCTGGCCTTTTCTACTCCTTACAGTTGTATATATTTAAATACAGACATTCGAAACCCTATCATCCCATTTGTGGTTCTTCCTGAGGGGATAGATTGGTTAGGACTTAGGTTTGCCTCCTTTCTTTTTCCCTTCCTTGGCAGTGTGAAGTTTTTTCTAAAGCTATGGCTGTTCTAGGATCAGCTAAAGTTAAACCCAGGACACTTCTGGAAGAGACCCAGGGTTGTAAGGAACAGTGATTGGATTATTTCCAGAGTTTCAGGGACCTGATCAGGTCTGAGATTGCTGGGATGGTAAGTTGTAAGGAGAGAGTGGGAAGGCAGCCCCCAGCAGTGAGTGCTCAAGTGATTTCTCTCAGTTTCAAGGACTTTGTTGAGTACACAGAAATGTTAATACAGATCTGTTAGACCCCATTATTGTTGGATAGAACAGGAACCATATCTGCTTACCAGTAAGTTCAACCTTCTGCCTGAATACTTTTAAAGGATACCAGCCTCTCAAAAACATCGAAAGGTGCCTACTCTTGGAATGGGATGAAGATAAGAATGTCCCAGTGAATGTCTGGGTGAAGTTCATGGCCACTCCTGACTCCAAAGTTAGCATTGATTCTGTGTCTAGCTGCCCTCACCTTGGGGCCCTCAAGACAGTGGAGAGGTGCTGATGAAGCTGTGTGTGGACAGTCTCCATTCCTCTTTCCTTTTAAATACTCTCTTAAGGGTAGTGACCTACACACTATGAACCTGGGTAACAAATCACACACATTATTGTCCCCAAGCACTATGTCATATGGCACCTTTCATGTATTTTGCCAATGTAAATTCCTAAACTGTATTTCTTCTTCTTTTTAAATTTAAAGAACTCCTCCCCCCAAATTATTAACCAGTACCTTGAATGTAGTCACTAGTCACATAGTCACTAGTGATGGAATGCAAAGGAGCAAAGTGTTATGGGCTATGAATAAGGTAAAAATATTTGATGCTGGAGTAAATTTTTATTTTTGGCTAAATGAATGCTTGAATCTGTTTTGCTGAGGCTAATATTTACATGTTTCTATTCTTGGTACTCATATCAAGTGACTGAAAGAGAACATGGCCCAAAATTATGCTTACTGGCAAGAAAAGCCAAAGTGAAATGAAAAATGTGCCATCGAAAATTCCTAATTTGAGTAATTCTCATTATTTGATTATTGCTTAGCAGAACAACGAATCTCACCTAAAAAGATACAACTCAGGGCAAGATAGTTAAATAGGGAGGCAACTGTGATAGAATAAGGTAGAGGACTTTGGGAAAGATGAGCTATGATGGTATTTTACCCTAGTCTTATCCAGTAACATCTTTATTCCTTTAAGTTTTACTAGTAAATAAAACTTCTGAATGTGAAATCTTTTGTTGGTGGAGGTATATTACTTACCGAAATCATTTTTACAAAGAGTTTCCATTATGTCGTTGTCATCCTCATTTTTATTTTTGCAGGCTTCACATACCTTTGGAGCTAGAAATGTGAAAAATTAGTAAATTTGCTTACAAGGGAAACAGCAGGTGGCATTTGTAAACAACTCAAAGGGGCTTATCCAGACAAGAGTAGCAATTGTATGGTAAGACCCCAGCCTCTGCCTCCTTTGAAAAGGACTACTCATTCCTAAGAAAGTCTTCCATGACTCCTGTTTTTTGATGGGTAAAACAAGAATGCCTATAGTTGTGTTTAATAAATGATGAATCACCCCCCCCCCAAAGAATGTTGTGGGCAAAGTGTACAGAGGGATTTGGTTTTTTACCTCTTCCTCCCCACCCCCAAACAAATTCTGTCCCTGAAAAAGTTGCTCCCAAAGCCTCTCTGAAGAGAACGCCCCAGAAGAATCTCAAGGGGTTTTGGAAAATCGGTTACCACAAAATATGGCCACAAGATTGTCTTTTTCGGCTGCAGGACACCAGTGCAGCTCAGTCTCTGCTGGCCTCTTCAGGAGAGTTGTGTCTCAGGGAGGTCCCTTCACGATATTTTCAAGTCTGGACAGGGAGAGGTGGCTAGTGCTTATAGGGGTTACCTAGGGGCTCTTCCCTCTTTGGAAACACACCTCAGCAACTACAGCAACCTGCTCTCACTGGTTCTGCATCACCCGTGTGCTTTCTGTCAAGTGTGTGGCTGAGTCAAGCTGCTTTTATTTATTTTATTTATTGTTATCTTCCTCCCTGGTCAGGTTCTTCTTGCTCCTCTTTGTCCATTTCAAACTCTCAAAAACAAACAACCCTCCACCCCCCAAAAATCCCAAATCAAAAAAACAATCAGCCAAACAAAAAACCCAAAGCTTTTTCTGAAGTGAATCATAATTGAAGCAAACTGTCTATGGGGGTCTGACCAAATGCAGGAATACGCGCTAGCACAAGGATCGGAGAGCCTACTAAAAGCTCTTCTAAAAGAATCTGGTTTGGGGGGAAAAAAGAAAACATACTATTCCCTTTCTTGCATTTATAAATGTGCTAATGCTGGGTCTAAAATTTAGATAAAATTTGATTTTCATTAACAAGAAATTCAATTTTTACAGAAAAAAACTTTGTGACTCATGATGTAAGAGATATGTATCAAATTAGAAAAATTGCAGGGCATATTTTGAAGACCATAAACTTTTATTTTGAAGGGGGAAAATGGCGATTTGGAGAAATGTAGTTTATAATATTGGTGCTGATGGTGGAAAGAAATAAAAACAAAAGTAACACACATAAAACTGTCCTTAATTCCTCTCACTCAAACAAAATGAAACATTTCCAATTAGGAGCTCTAGGAATGTATATAAAATGTTACTAACCTGTATTGGTTGGTCTGTGGTATATGTTGGACAAATGTTTGAAATATGCCAAACATTTGCAATAAATTAGAAATCTAACCAATAAGATGATTGCAAACTCGAGGTGCCTGCCAGGAAAGATTGCTAAACAACTGTGCATTTTCTTTAACCAAGGATGGCTATAGGAAAACAATTAAAGATTGAAAGAGAGAGGCTGCTGGAGCCCTGCAAGGGATTAGGAAGCTCTCTTTCCATGTCAGGGGGACCTGAATCAGCTCTGACACATTGTGTATGTTTTTCTTTCAAGAAGAATATCAAGAACCCATGAGGTTTTCATTGCTTTTAAGGTTTTTGCACAGGACCTCCCCCTCTGTTTTCTAAAAACCTGGGAAACTCTCTTGCACGATTTTCTCCAGTTAATTAAAACCATTCCTAAGATATAGGCAGATTAGTGATAGAAAAATGATTCCTGGAGATTCCCTTTATGACCCCTTCCTTAGACACCCAAGCAGTACAAGCAGTGCTCAATCTTCAACTTGCTCCGAGCCAGTCCGGCCCTTATTTCCAAAACCTAAGTCGGCAAGGAACAACAACAACAATACCTTAAAAGACTATGTGCGTTTTGGCTACCCTGCCTGTCTGGGAATGTTTCTGTGCCTAGAATTCTGCCCGGTGGTAAGAACGTGTTGCATGAGGCTGGGCGAGGAGTCCCTGGCCAGGGTGCTCACTACCAACTCCACACAGGACCACTTCTAACGCTCTCAGAATTGTGGCCCCAGGGCTTAACATCTTTAAAAATAACTGCGTATCTCTACGGAAAAAACGCCTTTCAGTTCTTCGTTTTTTCTTTTTTCTTGTAACTGTCTCTAAGAAAGAAATTGGTGTAACTCGGAAGGGAATGAGAGGCGTGTGTGTGTGTTTGTGTGTGTGGTGTCTCAGATTTGTCACGATGACACACGAGGGCA